GCGACATTTAGTTCTTAAAGCTCTAATAAGTTGTAATTATTCTGCTTTGCATTATATCACTGCCCGATATTTAATTCTAATATGCCAATAGTTACTGAGCCAGCTTAGAATATATTCAACTTGTGTAGTCTTTGGCTACAATTTCATGTTTTAACTTAAAATTGACTATTCTATTTAGTTACCGCACCATGAGCTATGGTTAATTTTGTTAGCACAAGAAAGTTCATTTATGATCTAAATTCTGTTTAAATAAAAAGGTTGACCTTTTTTGGGGGGCGCTGAGGCTTCAGGCTTAGCAATAATTAGCTTTATGTCTGTTAGGGGTTCGGGATTAATTAATGTTTACCAGATCAAGTAAAAACCCCATAAGTAGCTAATTTAAATGTTTTTCCTAGCATAAGATCTCATATTTACAGATACATCTATGTCACTCACTGCTTTTGTAATTTCCAATATATATTTTCTATTTTTAATTTAAATCTTTTAAAAGGAGTTTTAAACAGCCAAAAAATTAGACTTTAAATTATTATACAGAAATGCATTTAAATTATTATATAGAAATGCATTTATTATCAATTTTATATGTATGAAAAACATTTCCTTCTTTACTGAGGCTCACTATATTCAAGTTGATAAGACTAGTGAATGGAATGATCAATCTGGTAATTCATTCCCAGTTTCAAATCAGGTGAATGGGCTGCCTATATAAGTTGAATTGATCATCTGATAAATTATGTGATAATGATAATTTAGCTCATAGTTATAGGTAGATATTTGCTATTAATAATACATAAAAGGAAAAGAGCACTTGAAAACTTTGCTTTCTGTATTATTTGTGTCCGTTCTGGTACCATGTAAATCCATGTATACATTTTGGTTACTGCTGTTTTGCAGTAAGAGCAAATGAGAGTTCTCTTTGTAGCTCTTCAAAACACCTCTGCGAAATTTAGAAGAAAAGTAGCAGGCAAGAAATACTTTCATTTCTTTCCTGATAGGGACCTAAAACAACTCTCTTTTTAAAAATATTTCCCCTTAAGACCTCTAGCGCACCCATTTACTTTCTCCTTCGTAAATAACATCAATTTTGCCTTCTTGTCTGCATCTGAGGCGACACCACTGAGAAGAATATCTGGACTCTGAATTCTATGAATGTGAAATATCTTTTTTGATTATACCACAACTTTTTTCCAGTGTCTTGTTCTCTTTTCTTGTTTCCTCTTGAAAAGCAGTTTTCAGAAGAGAGGGATTAACTTTTCACTTCATTGTTCTCTTATCACAGAACTATCTTTCACTGAGCACAAACTTGTCTTTGAAACCTACCTTAAAAGATGACTAACAAAGAGCATTCATATTTTTACTTATTTCTCTACCTCTTATTTTTTAAAACTTTTTTTCAGTGTCCCTTAGTATAAATACATTAAGATCTTTATTCAAAGGCACCAGGACCAACAGAATTGTCCCTTAAACCTTTGCAGCACGGTGTGCTCGGTCTGAGCACACCTAAAACTTTCCTTCTGTATGCACAGAAAAATTGAATGAAAAAGGATTTATAGGTTACTCTAAACATTCTTTATTTATAGCAGATGGCAGCTCAATTTAGCCATGTTTAGTTTTTTAAGACCCTCATTTTTCGAAGAAATCTTCCAGATTTTTTTTCAAGGTATAAAAGGAATTTCTATGTTATTTTTGTTTTTTTGGTTGTATGATAATCTCCTTATTCTATATTAGTTTTAATTTTTTACCTTGAAATCTTGCGTAAAATCAACAACGAACATCGGTTGTTTGAAAAGAAATTTCTATGTTATTAGTCCAAAGGGATTTGAATCCCGAAGGACTATTAGTTTCGTTTTGGCATTTTGCGTCGGACGGATAAATGTCGGTTCACTTTTCAAACTGTTGCCATAAAATGTTAGAGTCCTGCATTATATTTGAAGAAATTAAATAATGAAAATCTGCGTAAATGTATGTATATTTCTCACATTGTCATAAAATAACGGTACATAGAGTCATCGAATTTTGAATAACGTAATCCTCCAACGAATATGAGCATGTGGAAGACCAAATTTGAAATTTGTTTTATGATCGATTTCCTATTTTTTTAAAACTTTGACAAATTTTTGATTAACAAACTCAAGGATTTCAAAGCGAGCAATGGCAACGTTGTGCAGAAAAAATTTTTTTATCTCCAGCGCGTGAGTCTCTGTATCGGAAATTCTAAAGATATGCTCGTTTTAAAACTATTTTGCGATATTGCTGTTGCACTGGATCTTATGGTTTAAGTGCAAGGAACATGATATTTAATAAAGAAAGGTAACACACAAAATGTTAAAAAACGCCTTCCTTTGGATCGTTTAAAATAATTTAAAATCTGAAACGGTTTAGTTCATTCAGATTTTTTTTTTTTTTTTTTTTTTTTTTTTTTAACGGGATGTTTGGTTATTAACGAAACAAATTGTTGCGGTGATTTTCTAAAGATCAAGGGTAATTTTATCAGTTGGTTTTTGTACTAGAGCAGTTCTTTTTCGCTTTCGTTCAAAGTTTCGCTAGCGCTCCATGTAATAGTTTTGAGTTGTAGACATTTATTTAATTTTATTTTATAGTTTATAATTTTTAATTGTAAATATAATATTAGTTTATTTTTTTCGGATTTTTAATTATTTTCCAAACGGTTCGGAGAGGGCTGACTATTACACAAATCACTTTCAGATAGTGAATGTGGTACGGATCCCGGTACATGGTCAAAACATGCAATATTGGGTTGTGCTTTTTCAAAGGTGGTGTCCCTTTCTTCGAAAAGTACCACCATGAAAAAAATATACTAAAGTGTAAATATCATATACCCAAGTTACTTTTTTTCCTATTCATACGCATGTAATCATCATATAACAAAAAAGTTTTTTTTAAGAATGTGTGTAGAGTAGCAGGTCTTCCCGTGGCACACCCTGGGTAATGCTAAATCTACTATGGTATTCAGAGTCTAGTGTTTTTTAATTGTAGGCAAAATCTCTTACTCTTTTATGCACTTCCCAGCAATGCTCGTTTCAGCACTAATCAGTGTGCTTGCTTCAGGCACACACACAAAAATAAATAAGTGCTATCTTCACAAAATTTTACTTGTGTACTCCTTTAGGCCTAATTAGACTGCCTACCCTTTTTTTAATCAAAATTCCAACTTTAAAAGGTAGGTGCTGAAAGGGTTAATTAGAGGTGCCCCTTTCATGAAATACTGCTGTTCCCAACTCAGTTTACATAGTAGCTTTAATGTGCCTACAACTTCTGTGATTGGTGAATGTTGTGTTCACATCCTATTAATTGCATTATACTCATTCTTCAGATTTATGGATCATTCTTCAGATTTGGTGTTTATTATGTTCAGTCTACTTGAGATTATGGACTCAGACCCCATCATGTTTCTGTAATACAGACATGAATTTTTTTAGTATTATACAAGTATCCCAATTTTTCTGGCACAGATGTAAATTCTTGGGTGTTACTTTTGTATTGAATATTCTTGAATATACTCTTTAAATTACTAGCAGAAGTAACTGTGAGGTTTAAATGGCATACTGTAAAAATTTTGTTATCTGGGTTATCTTTTGCAGTATTTCATCTGGGTATTCAGCAAATCTGAAAGCAAGGAAATTTTATTTTTCATTCATCATATTTTGTGTGAGCAAATAATAAAAAAATAATGTATTATAATTGAATAAACAATATCAGTTTATATTCAAGGGGGAAAAAACTGTATGATCACATCTTCTACCTTGTGAGTGGATGGGAGATTAACCGAAAACAATAATAGGAAGTAACTGACTGCAGTTAAATTTCTTGTTGTAAGATGGAAATAATTTGCAAGGGGAAGAAATTGTGGTATAGGGTCATCATATTTATTTAGTCTCTTACTAGAAAAGGAACTTGTGTCATGACTGCGTCTTGATTCATGAAGTATGCGAAATCCTGAGAGTGTTGTTCTCTACATAAATGATTTTTCACTGATTTTTATGCACTTCGTATTGATTTAACACTGTGGACTAATCTATATGGTCATATAATTTCAGCAAATGGTTGCTTCTTAAAAATATTTATTCTACTCTATTACATGTTATTTAAGAAAATCGAAATCATGTAAAGTAATTAACAAGTGACCTAAAGTGAAGCTAGTTATTGGAATTCTAGGTGATACTAAAAGAGTTAAGTGTACTGTCAAAGCAATATGTTTAGTCTCTTACTAGAAAAGGAACTTGTGTCATGACTGTGTCTTGATTCATGAAGTATGCGAAGGCCTGAGAGTGTTGTTCTTTACATAAATGATTTTTCACTGATTTTTATGCACTTCATATTTATTGAACACTGTGGACTAATCTATATGGTCATATAATTTCAGCAAATGATTGCTTCTTAAAAATATTTATTCTACTGTATTACATGTTATTTAAGAAAATGCGAAATCATGTAAAGTAATTAACAAGTGACCTAAAGTGAAGCTAATTATTGGAATTCTAGGTGATACTAAAAGAGTTAAGTGTACTGTCAAAGCAATAGAGAGAGTATCAATAGAGAGAGCGAATTTCTATATCTTCCTGCTAACTAAAAATAACTTAAATTCTGTTGAATGTTCTGCAATATCTACAACTTACATATTTAATATATTCTGCAGCTTGATATTTACAGTGCTTTTCTTAAAATTACTTGTAGAGAGAGAATCTCTGTTAGTTAGATTACTGAATAAACTAGTATTACACCTGATCCTGAAGTGGGTATCTGTATAATGTTTCCATATTTTTCATAATGTGCAACATAAATATGGGCCAATTTTACTCAGAAAATCTTTCATAAAATCACACTTTCTGTTATGTAGTACCCTTTACATGCTTTGCTATAATTGACTCAATTTGGATCAAGTTAAGAAATTGGAATGTTCATACTTTTAACTGATGTTTGTTTCTAACTGACTTATATAATAATATTTCATAACACTGCTGTTTTAATAATTCTTTTAGTATGAATTATCTATGGGAGTCTTCCCATATCGGACTTGGGGCACACCTTTTGAACAACTGAAACAAGTTGTTGAAGATGATCCTCCACGTCTTCCAAGCGGTAAATTTTCAGAAGAACTTGAAGATTTTGTAGCTAAGTGGTAAGTTTTTCCCCATCCTCTTTAACTGTCTTCATTATAAACAGTAAACATATTAACTATATATATATATAAGTAAATCATAATCCAGTGAGAAAATTAAGTTTTTGTTTTATTTTCCAAATTTTTCCAGAACTGCTTGGTTGTTCTTCATTTTTTCTTTTCCTCCCCCTCTTCTCCCTCACATGCAGACTCTGTGAATTCATAATCACAGATCTCAAAACATTTATTACATTAAAAAAAAATTAATTGCCATTTTTTTAAAATGAAAAACCCATTACCTTTCAAATGAATGTCAAACTTGAGTTAAATATTGGGAATTTTTAAAGTTGAAACTATTATGCATTTCTGTATCTATTATATTTTGCATGTATTTAACTGTACTGTATGAGTAAGAGACAAAAACAATTTTGAAATGCATCCATTTCATATAAAAGTAACAAAAAGTGAAATATCATCAATTTAAATTCTTCAGTTTCTTTTTAACTTTGTTCTGCCATTTAGTTTAATTAGTTAACTCTAGATAATATACTGTATAACTTCATTAATTAAAAACATATCAACTTCAGTATTTGTAAGTCTTTCAAGGTGACATTCAGGGTTACCAGTGCAAGTAAGTTACTGAAAGCCTTAAATAATTATGAAGTAGCTTATAATAGAATAAATTGTGATTAAAATAATACATGAAATAAAAATAAATTTTAAAAAAATATTAATTTCGGCTAAAGGGGCATTTTTTAACGTTTTGTGTGTTACCCTTACTTATTAAATATCATGTTCTTTGCAGTTAAACCATAAAATATATTTCAACAGCAATATGAGAAAATATTTTAAAGAGCCTATCTTTAGAATTCTGGGTACACAGTCTCCCGTGCTAGAGAAAAAAATTCCCCCCCCCAGATACAGTGTTGCCATTGCTCGCTTTGAAATTGCTGAGTTTGTTAATCAAAAATTCTTTAATGTTTGACAAAATATGAAATAGATAATAAAACAAATTCTAAATTTGGTTGAAGTGAACCAAGCAAAATGCAAATTAATAGTCTTCCTGAGCAAATTGCTGTTTGGGGCTAAAAATATATTTTAAATATATAAATAAATATATTTTGATTTTAATTATTTATATATTAATAAATATACTGTGATTAATAAAGTATGCGAAATCCTGAGAGTGTTGTTCTCTACATAAATGATTTTTCACTGATTTTTATGCACTTCATATTGATTTAACACTGTGGACTAATCTATATGGTCATATAATTTCAGCAAATGGTTGCTTCTTAAAAATATTTATTCTACTCTATTACATGTTATTTAAGAAAATCAAAATCATCAGAGTGGAAAACTAAACTATCAGAGTTAAACTATCCGAGTGGAAAAAATAGTTCTTGCAATAAACAATTCAAATTTAGCCATGCTTGTATTGATAATAACTTATGAGATAATATTTATTGATAATAACTAATGAGAATAATATTGTTATTACTATTGAAATTAATAAAACCATAAAAAGAGTAACCCATAAAATTAAATTGATAATAACTTAAGTGCAAATAAACTTCCAGTACTTTCTTAATTTTGATTTATTGACAGCTAATGAATATTCATTCGTATAATTTAGTTAGGGTTTTGACCAAAATCCAAGTGAGGGAAATTGATGTATAAATTTGCTTATTATTTAAATTTATGAAAATCAACACATGCAGATAGAAAGAAATGCTTATGTTATGAATAACTTATAAAGTGATAAAACCTTATAAACACTGATGAGCCAAAACATTATGACCATCCCCTCATTTTTCAATAAACTTGTCTTGATGACATTGAAAGCATGGGGTTAAGTGGGAATAGTATTTAATTGCTGCTGGAAAAGGTAAGGAATCATTCTTAAGGCTGCTGATCTAAGCGAATTTGCTAGAGGGCAGATTTTAATGGCCTGAAGACTCGGAATGAATATTTCTGAAACTACATGACTGGTAGGTTGTTCACGATCTGCCATTTATGCAAAGTGGCTAAATGATGGTGAAACTTGAAGTAGACGCCAAGGTGATGGATGTCCATGCATCATCAAGGATAAAGAATTTCGAAGACTGTCCTGCTTGGTACAGCAAAACTGCAAGTGTTTTGGAACTTACTGTTGGATATGGGCCAGTGCAGCAGACGTCCCACACGTGTGCTTCTGTCGACCAAGCATCGCTGTCAAGTACACCTGCAGTGGGCCCGAAAACATCGAGACTCGACCATGGGTAAGTGGAAGACAGTTGGCTGGTCGGATGAATTACGATTCCTCATTCACCATGTGAACAGTCATGTTAAAGTATACTGTCTTACAGGCAAACAGTTGCTCCCCCCTGTATGTACAGCAGGCCGTACGCAGGGTGGTGGTGCTGGTATTATGCTTTCGGTGATATTCCTCATGGGCAGCTCTGGGACACTTTATTGTGGTAGAACAGACCATGAAAGCTGCAGACTATCTAAACATAACTGCATATCAGTTTGCACCGTTATGTGGCATCTGTCTTTCGAACTAGAAATGGATTCTTCCAGCAGGACAATGCCATATATCAATAGGTTCTAATTGTGTTGAAGTGGTCCAAGGAGCATAAGAATAAATTCCAGTTAATGTCCTGGCCACCTAACTTGCCGAATCTTAACCCCCCTAGAGCACATGTATAATTCTAATAATTCCTTAGAATATAAAAGGTAAAAAGGACTTACCTTTTATTCGATCTTCTTTCTTCTCCAAAGCATATCCGGGAGTGTTTTTCTAATTCATCTCATGCACTACTCACAGAAAGAGAGAGGCTTCTAAGATAATAAGATATTTAATTTACAATCACATCACTAAACTAATATATATACACAAAGAGTAGGATTACATGTTTCACTCAAACGTCCATCACGAGTTCTCAAAGTTCAGTTAAAAAAGTTTTAGTTTTAGTTTTAGTTTTTGCTGCACACATGCGCAAATCACGTGGTTGTCGGTGAGAGTTTCAACATACTCCCAGCTTTAAATTTGCTGAAAAATCAAATTTAAAACTGTAACATTTGAACAGGCTTTACCATTCGACCAGTTCTTCTTGTAATCATCGATGGAATCTTTTCGCTCTTAAGATCTTGAGGCAAGTCATTACGAATATCAGGATCGCAGTAAGTCTCTGGTTCATCAGAAGAGCTGCTTGCCACATTTCTAAATCTAGACTGTTCATCTGATGATGTTATCTCCAAAGGATACAAACACTTGGTTGGTCGCAAAACTTCTCCAAGCTTAGTCTTGACCTTAACTAAACGCACATGTCCATTCCGAGATTTGAAAATCTCGGTTACTTTCGCCAATAACCAGTCTGTTCGCTTCTTATTATCATCGGACACTAAAACAAGATCTCCTATTTTCAGAGGTTGTGAAGCTTTTACATGTTCATAATTTTGCCGTAACTGTCCGAGATATTCGATTCGAAATCTTTTACTTAGATCTTGTAAAAGTTTTTGTCGATAAATAAGCCTTTTGTTTAAAGATTTCGCATCTATATTATCCAGATCAGGAACTCCAATGTGTTCGAATCTCATGGAGAAACATGGAAGGTGTGATCGGAGATAAATCTTCAACATCTTCCGAGACATATGTCAATGGACGATTATTCGTTATTGTTTCACAGTCACACAAAATTGTTATAATTTCTTCATGATTCAGAGATGATCGTCCTAAAACTTTGCGAAGGATTCTTTTCAGGACTCCTATTAATCGCTCACACCATCCTCCCTACCAGGGAGCTGATGGCGGAAGAAATTTCCATGTAATTCTGTGGATACTAGCTTATTCTAAGATTTTATCCCAATTTAAGCTTTTGAATAATCTATCACTTCCTTTGAAATTCGTTCCATTGTCGGAATAGATGGTGTGGGGTCTTCCACGTCTAGCAATGAAACGTCTCGGTGCTTGCAGAAAACTTTCAGTTGATAGCGAGAAAATCAATTCCAAATGTACTGCGCGAAAAACAGCACAGGTAAAAATCACTATCCATGATTTTTGATTTCCCTTCAATATCAACGATCCAGTCAAGTCAACACCTACAATCTCAAAGACTGCTGCTTCTCTTACTCAGTCTTCAGGGAGAGCAGCAATGGGTGTTTTCAAAGAATTAGTATCGAACCTCTGACATACAACACAGCTTCTTATGACTTTCTTGACAGTCTTTCGTGTTTTCAAAATCCAATATTGTTCTCATAAAGCAGATATTAAAAATTGTACTCCTGCATGATTGTTCATTTCATGTTTAGCTCTAATTAATTTTACTACAATAGGATGATCTGAAGGAAGAATAATAGGAAACTCGAAAATTTTCTGCATCATCTCTTCTCAGAATTCTGGTTTTAACCCTAAGGATTCTGTTAGAATCAATCATTGGTTGAAGTATACGTAATCTTTTGTCATCTAATCCAGAAAATGATTTGCTGTGCACTAATCTCAAAAGAGTTAGTTCGGCTCCTTTAATTTTTCTTCCGCTGTAATTGTTCCATAAGTTCTATCATTAGGACTTAGTCTGACATTTTTAACAAAATGGAAGATCCAAGATATTATCTTTAGAATGGTATTGTACGAAGAAATCTTATCAAAATTAACTTCAGTCATAGCATTCGAATTAACTGCAGAAATTATTGTCTTCTTTCTTTCAGCATTTATAATGTCAAAATTCAGTACAATTTCAGAGGTAGGCTATTTTTCTGAATCATTTCTCAACCAATCGGGACCCTCCCACCATTTCTATTTGACTAAGGTTTCCGGACTGCATCCTCGGGAAGGGAGGTCAGCTGGATTTAGTGTTCCAGGAATATAATTCCAGTCGTTTGGATTACTTAGAGTACGGATTTCTTTCACTCTATTGTGAACGAAAACGGCCCGGTTTTCATTCTTTTTTATCCAAAATAATGCATCCATAGAATCACTCCAATAATAAATAGGCAAGCTTTCTAGTCTCAAATCTTCCTTAACACGATGTGCTAGTCTAGCAC